TGGTCTTCTTTTCAAACTAGTGGAAACAAAAAACATCTAAAACACAATTACAACACATATTTTTAAAGGCCATTTTCTCAAAATATTTTTTTCTATGCTTTGAGTGAGCCAGAAATTTCCACTTCAGTTGCACTTATATACAAACAGTTTTATTACAGGTTTATTTATTACAGAGGGCTTTGTATTATTAGCCTGATTTATAGGGTGATAAAAACAGATTCCCTCTGCAAAAACCTTAAACTCTAATATGTAAACAAAATGAAACAAGAATTTTGAACCTGGGTTTATCTAGTGTTCAGATTTTTGTTCTGGGAATGCATGCAAAGAATTTAATTAGATAATGCCTCATTTACATATCAACTTAACATCTTAGAAAATCTTTGAAGATAAATTTGTATTAAATTATAAAACAGAATCTAGAAAAAATAAAACAGAATTTGGGGAAAATGACAGATTTCTTGGGGCCCTAAAAATAGCTTACTGTAGAGTTTACTTGTAAACTTATGTTTATATTCATTCTTGAAGACTTCCTTCCACATTAATAGTATGCATTATAATATGATCATATTATAAATATTGATATCAAATGATATTGTCACACTCAGGTGCACTCAAAACACTCACGAAGATGAAGGTAAAATTATCTTTAATATTCCACACAGAAGGTAAATCCACAAGAGGAAGGCTCAGCACACGTGAAAACATAGACGAGATCTGACAAACACTAACTGAACAGACAGGAACTTAAATAAACATGCAAATTAAGATAATAAACTAGACACAGGTGAACAGAATGAACTAATCAGACACGAGGGAAAACTAGGTCAAAACAGGAAAACAACAGTACTCACTATCATTAACATGCACTTGGAAAGAGCATGATAGCAATCTTAGACCATATAGACTATGACGGATGTGTGTTGGGTGTGTGTCTGTCTGCCACTTCTATCTCACCATATGCTCTAAGGAGGACTGCTGCTGACACTATTGAGCTGACCTCCATAGCACCCATTACCAGAACACCAGTGATATCCGCTGGGATTGAGCTTGGTTGTTACTGCAGTTCATGCCTTAAAACCAAACAGCCTCTGCCAGACAGGTGTTCAAACTCAACAAACCTTTTTCATAAAATCAATATTCGTTCAGTTTTACCAGAATATACCCAGGTGCATTAATCAAACAATGTAGCAGGTTTAGGGATTGTATAATGGATGTCGATGTCCTAAATAATCTGTTGTTGCCCCTGAAGAATGATATTATAATATCACAACTCCATACTACCAATTTTTTGTCTGTTTAAACCCTGCCCCTTTCTTACAATCAATTACAAGGTCAGGGGCCATTTACACGACAACGTTTTCATCCAAAAACTGTTCGTTTACACGACAACGCCGTTTTGGGGACTGAAAACGCACAAGTTTTTGAAAACGGCACCATTATCGTTTCTGTGTAAACACCCAATACAGGAATCTTTGAAAACGGTGACATCATGCGCGTGCGTAGTACGTGTGAAATCACAGGCTGTTTTAGCGGTGCATTGGCAGGAAAACTGCATGCACATGAAAAGAGACACAAATATATAATGAATGATACTCTCTTACCTTTGAAAGACTCTACATTAATAAAAATGTACCATGTAATACTATGTTTTTCGACACGTATAGTAGAACCATGGTATACATTGAAATAATTGTAAATACTTTTCCAAGTTTCTATGATAAAATTACCAAGGACTGAATATGGCAATAGGTCATTTGAAAAATCTATTTGAAAAAATAATGTCACAGTGCAGGATGGCATAATAGTTCATCCAGAAATTAAAAATGATGTTTTAAACACACTGAACTTTTGTGCCAACATGCCCCAATACCATCTAAGTTTTAAAAATAAAACAATTCTTAAACACAATTCATGAAACACAGTTGTAACCAGGGCTGGATTGGTAATCGGGCATATCGGGCATTTTCCCGGCGGGCCGGCGCACGACAGAGATTTTTTATTTTTTTTTTCCAAGGACCATCACGCACGGACAGCGAGCAGCCAGTGGCCCATTGGTTTGTCTTCTGTAAAATGTAAAAATGCAATACATGTAAAAAAAAAAAATTTTTTTTTTGTTCGGACCTCTGCTTCGAAGAAAATGTAGAGGCCGCGCCTCTTGGAACTTTAATTGAATACCCCTGACTTATAATAATATAATAAAGAGATACTTTATTTGTATGGTTTTGTAATATCTGTGTCACATATTTCCTTGTGTGGTACATCGGACTCTTATTATAGAATTTCATTACAGAAAAACTGTTTTGAACATGGTAATGGATTAAAACATAGCCTATAAATAACAGGCTGGATGTACAATAACCTTACATCTTAACACCTCTTTTGTTTATTTTTTTTTTATAAAGCAGATCATAGAATATTTTGTGTATAGCCTATAAATCAGTTTCGTAAATAAGAAAGATTTCAATACATGAGGATTCTAAATTTCCTACTACTTGTTTCACTTCTATTTCAGTTTTTTTATAACTATTTCTTACTATGTGTCAGTAAGTTGTTGTTATTTTAGCATGTGTGTTTGGCTCAGTGTTATTTTTTTAGGATTACTGATAAACTAATGTAGTTTGATTTGTATTAGTTATCTATTTTAGTTTTAGTTACAGTTGTAGTAATGTTGTCATTTTATTAGTTTTTTTATTATGTCTATATAGGCTACATTTCAAACCATAATTTTGGTCAAAAAATATAAATTTAGAACTTTTAAAACATGTGACAACTTCCCCCAAAACTAAATGTGACTAATCCTCAGTATCACCACATAAAAAAATTATTACAACCACATCAAAAAATGATTACTGTAAGTACATAAGGCTTTATCAGTATGCATACAGTACACTCATATGAAGCGATATAAACTATACAGCAAATTTCAACTGCTTGATTGTTTATATTGTTGCAAAATGTAAACTATATTATTGTCCAGCAATATATTTAAAGTTGAATATATAGTACATCCATCTACATCCAGTACACTCACATAAAAGTGACAGATACTATATTTCAAATCTCAACTGCTTGATTGCTTATGTTGTTACAAAATGTGAACTTTATTGCCCAGATACAATTTTTAAGTTGGATACAGTAAATCCATCCAATTTTACCTACATACAATACATTCAATACAGGCTACTTTATAGCAAATCTTCTCCGCGTGATCCTTTATATCATGTTATCACATATAAAATGTAAAATACATTACAGCACAGCTCTATATGTTAATTTGGATATATAAGTATATCCAACTTTACCCGCGTTCATACAGTATACAGAGATATATACTATACAGCAAATCTTGTTTATATTGTAGTACATTTAAATTTAACTACATACGTAAAACAATATATATATATACTATATATAGCAAATGTCAACTATTTTATTATTTTTATCATCACAAAATATAAACTATAGTATTGCACCGCTGGATACTGTATATTATGTTGGATACATGAATATAGGTATTCAACTTTACCTACATACATAAAAAAATATATGATATATAAGATATATACAATATCTATAAAGCAATATATACTATATAGCAAATCTCAACCGTTTGCATATATTGCTGCAAAATGTAAACTGTATTATTGGCCATGCAGCTTTAATCTGCTGAATGCCACTAAAAGACATGAATATATTAAGATATAATAAACATTAACATAGGCTAATGGTTTTCTGTTAAGCTGCATTGAAACAACGTGTGTTAAAAACGCTATACAAATATACTTGAGGACTAGCTCTGATTTCACATTTAAAATATCCCCGAGAAGCTCTTTATTATAATCCCACAGTTCAAAATGTCTTGATTGTGTAGTTTTATTGTGTTCACATAAATAAGAGATTGTCTATCAAATGAAATTGGAATTTTGTTTGTAGGACAGAAATCGCAAGAAAGAAAAAAATCACAAAAAGGGGTTTGAAAAACGACCACGTACCCAAGTACCATTTTTATCTAATCGCTGTACCGCCACACTGCTTTTTTATAAGCATGAGCTTCATCATCATCATCATCATAATTATTATACAAGTGATGCAGATGGGCATCATTCAACAAAAATTAACTTAAATGATTTTAGCAAATGGCTGCAATATAACAAAGAGTGAAAAATTTAAGGGGGTCTGAATACTTTCCGTACCCACTGTATACTATATATAGCAAATGTCAACTATTTTATTATTTTTATCATCACAAAATATAAACTATAGTATTGCACCGCTGGATACTGTATATTATGTTGGATACATGAATATAGGTATTCAACTTTACCTACATACATAAAAAAATATATGATATATAAGATATATACAATATCTATAAAGCAATATATACTATATAGCAAATCTCAACCGTTTGCATATATTGCTGCAAAATGTAAACTGTATTATTGGCCATGCAGCTTTAATCTGCTGAATGCCACTAAAAGACATGAATATATTAAGATATAATAAACATTAACATAGGCTAATGGTTTTCTGTTAAGCTGCATTGAAACAACGTGTGTTAAAAACGCTATACAAATATACTTGAGGACTAGCTCTGATTTCACATTTAAAATATCCCCGAGAAGCTCTTTATTATAATCCCACAGTTCAAAATGTCTTGATTGTGTAGTTTTATTGTGTTCACATAAATAAGAGATTGTCTATCAAATGAAATTGGAATTTTGTTTGTAGGACAGAAATCGCAAGAAAGAAAAAAATCACAAAAAGGGGTTTGAAAAACGACCACGTACCCAAGTACCATTTTTATCTAATCGCTGTACCGCCACACTGCTTTTTTATAAGCATGAGCTTCATCATCATCATCATCATAATTATTATACAAGTGATGCAGATGGGCATCATTCAACAAGTGCTGAAACACCATCACACATAACATCACAGCATCGTGTGCGCACATGTTGGAGTGATGCTGACGCAGGTGGACAGAGGGGGAGGAGTCACTGTTGCAGCGCCAGTTCACACTTCAGTTCAACCGATGCGGCGCATCCACGGCAGCCTCGCGTCAGCACGTCAGAGCGACAGAGAGGAAAACGAGCTCTCCATGCAGGCAGCACCGCCGGTCACATCTGAAACTTGTCCCACTGTGCATGACAGCTGATTTCAAAGCATGGATTTAGACGCGGATTGTTGTCATTTTGGATGACGCTCGTGCAACTTTACATTAAATCTCGGTTTTGCTGCAGACAGCCCCGCCTTGTGACACCTTGCGAACCGACACCGGCTTTCTCCCTCATCCCACTTTTGTTCATTTATTGACGGATAATACAATGGTGCGTCCGTGTCTTGCGCGCCGGGCTCTGGGCTGAGCGCGGAACATGGATAGATAGCGCGTTTCTCTCTCTGCGTTTCTCAGTGTAATCAGCGCCTTTCTCAATGGACGAGGAAATAGACACCCGCAAGATCAACAACAGCTTCCTCCGAGACCACAACTATGCAACTGAAGGTATATCTCATCACATGATCGCCTTCTCTCAGGTGCACTTAGAGTCAGAAATCCTGAAGGAATTATTTGGAAACGGTTCTAAAGGGCTGGGGTTTAATAAGTCAGCCTGGATAAACTGATTTTATTTTATACTGTTTATGTATTTGTTTTTGGGAAAACTGAATGAGTTGGAATTGCAGTTTATCAGTAGATGCTTGTATTAGATCCTTTCCAAATGAGCACTCCTGTATGCATCCTTTAGGATTTATAAAAAATCCTAAAGGAATGTGTACTGGAGTTCTGTTGGAATTTTTATTTTAACGTGGAACCAATTCTAATGGGAATTTTCTTTTAGGAATCCAACATATTCATACAGAAATACTAAATCTTCTGGAAAACAAAGGGCTCTTGGGATAATCAAATACATTTACATCATACAGTTTATGAAGTTGGATTTTATTTGATCCCATTAGAATCGGTGCCAAATTATGATGGAAATCCCTATAGCAGTCCCGTGCATGTTCTTTTTTTTGGCTAAGTACACATGCTTATTTCTCATAAGTGTGTCAGTCATGCTGGCATCTTCCCTGTGTACCACAAATATAGTGATGTGAAATAGTGATGTGTAATAGTAGAGTCTTTTATTTGAGCTAAAAATAGCTGAGCAGTCTAACACTTTAAGAAGATTTTCTGCTGTTGGTTTAGTCCGCCAAGCTCCATCAGTATAAGACCTGACAGTTTAGATTTGTGCAATATTTGAATGTGCTGGTCTAATACATTAAAGGGGTCATATGATGCGATTTCAAGTTTTCCTTTCTCTTTGGAGTGTTACAAGCTGATTGTGCATAGATAAGATCCCTGAAGTTGCAAAGACTAAAGTCTCAAATCCAAAGAGATATTCTTTATCAAAGTTAAGACTCTGCCACGCCCCCCTAAAACGGCTCATTCTAACACGCCCCCACATATCTACCCCACTATGTGGAAATATTTGCATAATCCCGCCGCAAATGTGCACGCAAAGAAAGAAGGCATGGTGTCAGTAACCGCAGTTAGTGTTGAAGCAGCCATGTCAGGGAGACGCTGTGTGTTTCAGTGCGAAAGCAAAAGCACTTTATTTGGATCACTTACAACAGAACAGCAATGCATTTTATGGACGACCGTTTCGTGAACCTAGGAGAGGAGGTAATTCTGACTTTGCTATGACAATCTGGCGCTTCTGAATCAGCTAATGTTTTGTTATTAGTTTAAGTATTTGCTATTGACTGTTCAAATGCAGAGTTTTGCTCATCGTGTGTGTGTGTGCGCGAGCGAGCGAGAGATAGAGAGAGAGAGAGAGATAAAGAGAGAGAGAGAGCGCGAGAGAGAGAGAGCGTGAGAGAGAGCGAGAGAGAGAGAGAGAGAGAGGGTCACATCACAGTTACACCAAATACACAAAATAATGATCTTTAAAAAAGCATCATATGACCCCTTTAAGATGCATTTCTAACAAGGTGAAAATCAACCAACTATTCAACTTCAATCATAACTTGGAACCAATCTTAAGGGAATTTCAAATTTTATAACATATTATATTATAGTGTAATATTATATTATAATATTACAACATTTTAGAAAAACTATATCATTGTGATCTAGTTTTATGAGTTACAGTTCATACAGTAAGGTCATCAGTATCTTTTGGAGAACTACACATTGACAAATAATTTGTTATTTCTCTTGAATCATCATGACTGAAATGCTTACAGTGGAAACCTACTGTAGAAATCAGGCTTTTGCACAGTTATAAACATGTTTCCATTGTGAACTGTTACAGTTCTTTCACTTGTCTTCCAAGGCAATGCAGTCAGTGAAAACTCTATATTATATTGAAAGTATAAAGGCATTCTTCTTCTCTGAAAATAGACAGCTGAGGAGGTTCACTGAGCCAGACCCTCCTCTCATGCACAGACCAGAAGTCTTCAACAGGACTGGTGCGATGCATCAGTGAATGGGGGGTTGGTTGGAGACAGAGACGGAGAGAGAAAGGGAGGGAGGGATAGCGAGAGAAGGGAATAAATCAGAGATTAAAGCCAGAGAACACATAGACAGATGTGATGTCATTCCAGCTGCGAAAAATCCACATTCCAAGCCTCTTCCCGTCTCCAGGCTATGCTCAAATCCGGTCTTTAAGAGTATTTATTTTTTTTAAGCCAACCTGAAATCAGAATGGACCGTTTGCTTTCATGATTCACATTTCTGGTCTTACTCTGTGTAATTTAATGGCCTTTTTATTTCGTTTATAGCTGAGACCAGCATGTTATGGGAAATCAATTTTGTGTTTTGGGGCAAAAGGAATCATAATGCTTGCACAAGCTTGTTTTAAAGGGGTCATAGGATGCTACATGCACTTTTACAAGTTGTTTGAACTGAAATGTGTGTTGGCAGTGTGTGTACACAACCACCCTATAATGATAAAAATCCACCCAGTGTTTTTTTTTTAATCTGGTTAAATGTTTTCCCCTTTTCTCAAATCGAGCCGATCTCAGATGCCTGTCT